GTAAAATTTGCTACAATCATTTACATATTTCTTTTCATCTAAGAGTAGATACACAAGCATTTGATTTGGTATCACAGGTAAATGAAGGAGTTGAGTGTCAGAAGCCCTGGTGGAGTCAAAATACTTGGATTCTCAAAGCCTCTGTGGCCTTGGTAAAAGATGAATAGATGGTGTGAACACCCTATCTACAATGAAGTCTGTTTACAGGGGACTTTTGGTCAATAAAGTTAAATGTTTGTAAATTTTGTTGATCTTTTCAAAGAACCAGCTTTCTGTGTCATTGATTTATTTTTCTCTCTGTTTTTCAGTCTTTGTTTTATTAATTTATTTCCTTCTCTCTGCTTGCTTTAAGTTTGGCGTGTTATTTTTCCAGTGTCGTCAGGTGGAAGTTTAGGTTATTTATTTGAGATCTTCTTTCCTTAAAAGCATTTAGAGTTATAAATTTCCCTTTTAGCACTATTTTAGCTGCGTCCTGTAAGTTCTCAAGTTGTAAATTCATTTTCATTAATCTCAAGGGTTTTTTGGTTCCAATTTCCCTTTTGATTTCTTCTTTGATCCATTGGTTACTTAGGAGTGTGTCATTTGATCTTAAACATTTATGAGTTTCCCCAGTTTTTTCCAACTATGCATTTCTAATTTTATTCCACTATGATCAGAAACCATTCTTTTTATTGTGATTATCTTTTTAAATGTATTGAGGTTTGTTTAATAGGCTAACAGAGTTTTTCCTGAAGAATGTTCCAGATATACTTGAGAAAGTGTGTATCCTTTTTGGTGGGGTGGGAGATAGGGGAGGGATGGTTCATGGTCTACCATGTTGTCCAGAGTGGCCTTCAACTCTTGATTGCAAGTGATCCTCCTGTCTCAGCCTCTTGAGAGATTGAAACTACAGACATCAGTCACCACACTGGCTAAGAATTTGTACTCTGTTTTCGAGTAGCATGTTCTATAGATATCTACAAGGTATTATTGACTTATAGTATTGTTTGGGTCTTCTGCTTCCTTGTTGATCTGTCTAGTTGGTCTCTTCCCTATTGAAAGAGGTATATTGAAGTCCATAGTTGACTTTTTTTTTTAAAAAAAAACATTTTATTAGTTGTTGATGGACCTTTATTTTATTTACTTATTTATATGTGGTGCTGAGAATTGAATCCAGTGCCTCACACATGCTAGGCAAGCGCTCTAAAACTGAGCTACAAACCCAGTCCCTCCACAGTTGACTTTTGAGGAAGTCTTCAACTGTGTGACGCACACAAGTTCAGCTTCTAATGAGTGTTTTTCATGAAGCACAACTGTAATCACAGCATCCTTGTAAAGCAGATAAATAATGACATTACTATTCTACTTTTTAAAAATAGACAAGTTGAGCCCTGGAGTAATTATCTGTTATGCCCAGGATGACAGTAGTTAAGTGACTGAGCAGGGACAAGGATCAAATCTTTTGACCAGGGTTGGTTTTGCCTTTCCATCATACTTTACTACCTTCTTTACGGGCCAGTTTCAAGGTAGTAGACATGCACCATTATATTGTGTGTGTCTGTGTGACAGCAAGAGAGAGCAAGCACACTGGGAGATTGCAAGGTAAAATTTTTGTTTATCCTGGAGCCACAGTCAGGTTTAATCATTCTTGGAATTTTCATACATGAACAGGGTGTAGTTATGGGCTCATTATTTACATAACATTTTCCTTTCCTCTCCCTTTTACCTGAGGGAGAAAAGGGCTTTCTCTGGAACCAGTAGACAAACACACACACACACACACACACACATACACACACACACACACACACACACACACA